AAATTTTTTTTTTTTTTTTTTTTTTTTTTTTTTGTAGCAGTATTTGTATGCATGAACACAGATTAGTCATTAATAAGCGACTCCATTACATGATGAAAGGTTTAGTGATTTATATCTGAAAGCTTCGCCTCTCTCTCTCTCTCTCTCTCTCTCTCTCTCTCTCTCTAACCAGGGCATACGCTTTCGGAATTTGTCAATACCTGAATGTCAGAAGAAGTTACCAGCGGCAAAGCCTGGTGGGGAGCCATTGCCTGAGGGTCTCCTTTGGCTCCTTTTAACAGGAAAGGTACCAAATAAAGAGCAAGTAGATGCATTATCCAAGGAATTACGAAGCCGTGCCACAGTTCCAGATCATGTGTACAAAGCTATTGATGCCCTTCCTGTTTCAGCTCATCCAATGACCCAGTTTGCAATGGGTGTCATGGCTCTTCAGGTACAGAGTGAATTCCAGAAAGCATATGAGAAGGGGATCCATAAATCGAAGTTGTAAGTGTGGTAGGTAGAGTTGAGTGTGTTAGGTGAGAGTTGAGTGTGGTAGGTAGATGTAAGTGTGTTAGGTGAGAGTTGAGTGTGGTAGGTAGATGTAAGTGTGTTAGGTGAGAGTTGAGTGTGGTAGGTAGATGTAAGTGTGTTAGGTGAGAGTTGAGTGTGGTAGGTAGATGTAAGTGTGTTAGGTGAGAGTTGAGTGTGGTAGGTAGATGTAAGTGTGTTAGGTGAGAGTTGAGTGTGGTAGGTAGATGTAAGTGTGTTAGGTGAGAGTTGAGTGTGGTAGGTAGATGTAAGTGTGTTAGGTGAGAGTTGAGTGTGGTAGGTAGATGTAAGTGTGTTAGGTGAGAGTTGAGTGTGGTAGGTAGATGTAAGTGTGTTAGGTGAGAGTTGAGTGTGGTAGGTAGATGTAAGTGTGTTAGGTGAGAGTTGAGTGTGGTAGGTAGATGTAAGTGTGTTAGGTGAGAGTTGAGTGTGGTAGGTAGATGTAAGTGTGTTAGGTGAGAGTTGAGTGTGGTAGGTAGATGTAAGTGTGTTAGGTGAGAGTTGAGTGTGGTAGGTAGATGTAAGTGTGTTAGGTGAGAGTTGAGTGTGGTAGGTAGATGTAAGTGTGTTAGGTGAGAGTTGAGTGTGGTAGGTAGATGTAAGTGTGTTAGGTGAGAGTTGAGTGTGGTAGGTAGATGTAAGTGTGTTAGGTGAGAGTTGAGTGTGGTAGGTAGATGTAAGTGTGTTAGGTGAGAGTTGAGTGTGGTAGGTAGATGTAAGTGTGTTAGGTGAGAGTTGAGTGTGGTAGGTAGATGTAAGTGTGTTAGGTGAGAGTTGAGTGTGGTAGGTAGATGTAAGTGTGTTAGGTGAGAGTTGAGTGTGGTAGGTAGATGTAAGTGTGTTAGGTGAGAGTTGAGTGTGGTAGGTAGATGTAAGTGTGTTAGGTGAGAGTTGAGTGTGGTAGGTAGATGTAAGTGTGTTAGGTGAGAGTTGAGTGTGGTAGGTAGATGTAAGTGTGTTAGGTGAGAGTTGAGTGTGGTAGGTAGATGTAAGTGTGTTAGGTGAGAGTTGAGTGTGGTAGGTAGATGTAAGTGTGTTAGGTGAGAGTTGAGTGTGGTAGGTAGATGTAAGTGTGTTAGGTGAGAGTTGAGTGTGGTAGGTGAATATGTTTTTCTCTTCTATATATAGGAGAGTCATTGTATACAAACAAATATCAATAAATAATACATCAATTCTAACATGGTATCAGAGCTATAGGTTAAGCTCTTGGTGCTCTTCGCCTTCTGGCGGGCGGCAACTTTGCCTTAACCGCCCGCTAGACCTCAACCAATTGAAACCTCCAACACATACCTTCTCTCCAATCACCGCCAATAACCACTGCAGCAACTCAAACCACTGCTAGCTCGAATTGACGCCAACTCTTCTCGCGTCCAGTATTTTCGTTTCGCGTCTCTCTCCTTCGATCTCGACTGTTCTTCGTTCGCAGTTTCTAACTTTTTGGTCAAGTGGAATTGCTTTGAACGATGGTGTTCTTCAGAAGCGTTTCTGCGCTTTCTAAGCTACGTTCTCGTGTTGTTCAACAATCAAGTTTTAACAACTCTGTACGATGGCTTCAAATACAAACCTCTTCTGATCTTGACCTTCATTCTCAGCTGAAGGAATTAATTCCAGAACAACAGGAGCGCCTGAAGAAACTGAAGTCTGAGCATGGAAAGGTTCAACTGGGGAACATTCCAGTTGATATGGTACTTGGTGGAATGAGAGGAATGACAGGTTTGCTGTGGGAAACCTCATTACTTGACCCTGAAGAGGGCATACGCTTTCGGAATTTGTCAATACCTGAATGTCAGAAGAAGTTACCAGCGGCAAAGCCTGGTGGGGAGCCATTGCCTGAGGGTCTCCTTTGGCTCCTTTTAACAGGAAAGGTACCAAATAAAGAGCAAGTAGATGCATTATCCAAGGAATTACGAAGCCGTGCCACAGTTCCAGATCATGTGTACAAAGCTATTGATGCCCTTCCTATTTCAGCTCATCCAATGACCCAGTTTGCAATGGGTGTCATGGCTCTTCAGGTACAGAGTGAATTCCAGAAAGCACATGAGAAAGGGATCCATAAATCGAAGTACTGGGAGCCAACATATGAGGACTCTCTTAGTTTGATTGCTCAACTACCAATAATAGTTGCTTATGTCTATCGCAGGATTTACAAGAATGGGCAAGTTATACCCAAGGATGATTCCCTAGATTATGGTGGAAATTTTGCCCACATGCTTGGATTTGATAGTCCTGACATGCAGGAGCTTATGAGGCTTTATGTCACCATTCACACTGACCATGAAGGTGGGAATGTTAGTGCTCACACTGGTCATCTAGTAGCTAGTGCCCTTTCAGATCCGTACCTTTCATTTGCAGCTGCATTAAATGGTTTGGCTGGACCACTCCATGGCTTGGCTAATCAGGAAGTTCTGCTATGGATCAAATCTGTGGTAAAGGAGTGTGGTGAGAACATAACCACGGACCAGTTGAAAGACTATGTTTGGAAAACACTGAACAGTGGAAAGGTTGTTCCTGGATTTGGACATGGGGTTTTGCGTAATACAGATCCAAGATACTTGTGTCAGAGGGAGTTTGCATTGAAGCATGCTCACCATATGAACATTACCTTTGCAGAAGCAAGAAGGGTAGCTTCCCAGTATCAGAGGGAGGCAGAAAAATGCAATGCTGCCACAGAGACTTGTGCCCAAGTTTGTCATCTTGTTAAAGCAAACAAATTCACTCTCTCTCTCTCTCTCATCTTTCCACTTTCAAACCCACAATCCTTTTTTTTAATCAACCCACTCCCTCACTTTCTTTACACCCCTCTTTCACTCACATGGGCTTGTCCCCTCTCTCTCCTCCGTTTGATTTCAAAATCCATTATTTTTATTTATTTTCTCCAAACCACTTTCCTTATTTCCCCATCTTTCATTTTGATTTCAAATATATTTTTATTATTTCTTTCTTTATTTTTCTTTCACATTATTTTTAATCTTTTTCAAATTCCATTCATACCATATAGCTTTGCACACCAAACCATATTTTTATTCATCTCGGGATCAACCCCGATCACAATTTTACACACACACACACACAAAAAAAAAAAAAAAAAAACAACAAAAAAAAAAAAAAACCAAAACACAACACCAAAAGATTTGTTTTCTTTTCTGCAGACGGCCACCTACCGACCTCACTTCTTCGCCTATTCCGCCGGTCTTTTCTTCTTGCCTCCGTCCTGAGCGGCCCTTAACGGTGCTGCCTCCGTGTTTTCCACGCCGCCGAGCACGTTCACTCCCCCATACTCCTCCACTGCAGCATATGGCGGACCTCCAAATCGGAACATCACGGTGGCCTTCCGCTTCAGCTTCTTGTTTTCCGCCTTTAGCACACTTATCTCTGCTCGCGCATCCTTATACATGCGCTGGAGCAGAGCCAGTTGGGCGTTTAACTGCTGCACCTCATTTGTCCTACTCTGAAGCCGGTGCGACAAGTTTGTGACCGCAGTCATGGTTTCCACACATGACTTCAATGCATACTGATTGACTTCAATATCCGTTTGCACTGCCATTTTTTGCTCCACAGACCGCATCGGAAAGTTCAACGGAGCAAAACCAAATGTGTTTGGTTGAGGTTCACTGGCCACCACACCAGTTATCTCTCTTGTTGACTCGTTGAGGTCGGGAAAGAGAGTGAGCAGACCACGGGAAGACGAAGCCATTTTCTGGGCAACAGAGTGTTACAGAGTATCTCTCTCAGAAAAGGAAGAGTTTTTCAGAGGATTTTCGCAGGTTTTTTGTCTCAGCCTCTGTTTCGGCCTCAGGCTCCGTCTTGGTTAAATAGCCGAGGCAGACACGCGCATCGCGCGCCACTTGACGCCAGACGACAAAACGGGCGCGCAAGCCAAGGTAGTCACGCGCCTCGCCATCATGTCCGGCACACCTTTTTATGGATTGGGCACATCTTTTGATGGCATGCCTTTTGAAAAATTGGGCACGACTTTTGATGAAGTGGGCGCACCTTTTGAGGGCGCGACTTTTAAGGGCTCGATATATATATTTACATGTATATCTTTTGGGCAGCCTATATACACACTCATACAGTGTCTTCTACACCGGTCCGACATGACCCAAATAAACTGTCTTCTACAGCGGTCCGACATGACCCCGTAAACTGTCTTCTACACCGGTCCGACATGACCCCATAAACTGTCTTCTACATCGGTCCGACATGACCCCATCAACTGTCTTCTACATCGGTCCAACATGACCCCATAAACTGTCCCGCCATTGCTCCCGGTCAACTTCTACATCGGTCCGGCATGACCTCGTAAACTGTCCACACATTATTTTCTCCAACGGTCTGACACGACCATACCGTGTCTCCTATCCTGTTTTATTTTATTTATCAGTTTACTTTCCTGTTTTGTTACTCTCTCCAAACTCAAGTTGGTTAGTATCTATCCTCCTTGAGTTTGAGGGGGGCTGTAAGTGTGGTAGGTAGAGTTGAGTATGTTAGGTGAGAGTTGAGTGTGGTAGGTAGATGTAAGTGTGTTAGGTGAGAGTTGAGTGTGGTAGGTGAATATGTTTTTCTCTTCTATATATAGGAGAGTCATTGTATACAAACAAATATCAATAAATAATACATCAATTCTAACACATAATTCAACAACTTTAACATTAAAAGTAAAGTAAAATGATATTAAAATACTACTTTTTATTTTAAAATACACATCTCAAAACAATATCATTTTAATTTACCTTTAAGCTTATATGATATCTTAATCCACTTTGCAGGGTCTATTAGAGGTTAAACAACTCACTAACTTTGATATTTCTAAAACAATTTGAATGGATGGATACCAAAGATTTCGATTTATTTATTTATTTATTTGTATAAACGTTGGGTAATGGGTTTTTAAGCTTAAAAGGTGATAAATGACTCCGACGTTTTATGAGATTTTAAAATTTTTTTTTTTTTACAATTTTAGTCTAATCATATCAACATTTCTTTTATAAGGCTAAAATCCTTAACTAACTTAGATGATGTGAAAATATAAAGATAGGTAAAAAATACATAGAAAAGATAATAATATTATTTTTTATCGGACTTATATATTTCTCTAAAACTTGAGAGAGAGAGGTGTAATTTATACCCAAAAAAAAAATTCTAATGTGTTTGGTTAGCCAAGTTCAAGAAAAAGAAAAGAAAATAAAATATTAGACTTGTCTAACTTTTAGTGTAAATCTTTTTTGAGTTTTAAAAATAATTTTAAAATTTTTAATTTGTATTTTTTATATTTTTAATATTTACATGTGTTTCACTTTTTTTTTATTATTTATATTTAAACAAAAAAAATTAAATTATTATTTCTTAAACAAATTGGTTTAGAGGTTGGACTAGGCAAGTTTGGACAACTCTAAGTACAACTTGAGAAACCCCTCAACCCAATTGAATCTGCTTGAGTTACACTCGTAGTTAAAAATTATTAGCTCTCTTAATTTAAACCAAAAATCCTAATTGAATTGCTCAAAAGTGCATGCGAAAAAACTGGTCATACAAATCAATTGGAATGTGGGTCGGCTTTTTGGCTATTTTAGCTTGTGACTAAAAAATTTCGTTTGGAATGGACTTTTTAGATTTTTTGACTTTTGTGAAAGAAAAAATAAAATGATTATAATTTTGATGTGACATTTTATCTAATTGACTTTTTAACTTATTTTATCTTTTTATGTCTATTTTAATCTCGTAACCTCTTCCCAAACGAGTGCTTTGTAAATGTAACAAGATTTCACTCCACATTGTCAAATTTTTGTTTCCTTAAATTACGTAGTTGCAGTCCTTGACGGGCTGCACAGCTCATTGTACACTCTTGCTTTCTGATATCAACTCCAACTTTTTCTTGACTGACCAATCTTGACTTGCTTTGGGACCATTGGCAACTCCAAAATTTTTTATTAGTGGTGTTAATCAAAAATTTAAATGTCATATATCTTACAGAAAATTTACATTAATCATTATATTATTTATGGAGAAAAAAATCAACAAATTAATTTAAATTCTGAAATTATAAACAAAAATATTTTAATATATTGATATTATTGTTTAACAAAAAGACATGCTAATACACGAGCTTCTACAATTGATCACAATGAGATTTCATATTTTAAAATCGTTGCATAATAAACTCATTATGAACACTGTCAAATACATCTTTCTCAATATATATAACCAAACAATTATTCAACCATTGATCTCCCATTTGGTTACACAATCGATTCTCTATGAATTTCATTGCTGAAAATGCTCTTTCCATTGTTGCAGTCGCAACTGGTAAGCTTTTTTCATTGGTGGGCTCAAAGTTTTGGGACTGAAAACTATGGGTTCAAAGTTGTATTTTAGTGGGTTCAGTTGTTGATTTTTTTCCTAAAATCTAGAAAACTGGTCATACAAATCAATTGGAATGTGGGTCGGCTTTTTGGCTATTTTAGCTTGTGACTAAAAAGTCTCGTTTGGAATGGACTTTTTAGATTTTTTGACTTTTGTGAAAGAAAAAATAAAATGATTATAATTTTGATGTGACATTTTATCTAATTGACTTTTTAACTTATTTTATCTTTTTATGCCTATTTTAATCTCGTAACCTCTTCCCAAACGAGTGCTTTGTAAATGTAACAAGATTTCACTCCACATTGTCAAATTTTTGTTTCCTTAATTGTCTATGGCTTGGAAGTACATCTATAACCTAATCTGGAACTCTAAAGAATTGAAAATTTTGATCATAAAAATGAGTACCTGAGATCATATCTCAATGTTTCACCAAAATTAAAATGGAAATAATTGTAACACAAGCTTGGAAAAAGTTTGTATAAAGTTGATATAAAGAGACTGGTATTGGATGACTTGGAAATCTCTCTCACTCTCTCTCTCTCCCTCTCAGTACGAATTCGGCCACTTTGAAAGTTCAATATGTGTCAACTTCAAGTTACTTATGTCCAGCCAGCCACATTCCATAAGAAATATCCCACCAACTTCAACTTGGAAGTCATGGCTGATGGATAAATTACGTAGTTGCAGTCCTTGACGGGCTGCACAGCTCATTGTACACTCTTGCTTTCTGATACCAACTCCAACTTTTTCTTGACTGACCAATCTTGACTTGCTTTGGGACCATTGGCAACTCCAAAATTTTTTATTAGTGGTGTTAATCAAAAATTTAAATGTCATATATCTTACAGAAAATTTACATTAATCATTATATTATTTATGGAGAAAAAAATCAACAAATTAATTTAAATTCTGAAATTATAAACAAAAATATTTTAATATATTGATATTATTGTTTAACAAAAAGACATGCTAATACACAAGCTTCTACAATTGATCACAATGAGATTCCATATTTTGAAATCGTTGCATAATAAACTCATTATGAACACTGTCAAATACATCTTTCTCAATATATATAACCAAACAATCATTCAACCATTGACCTCCCATTTGGTTACACAATCGATTCTTTATGAATTTCATTGCTGAAAATGCTCTTTCCATTGTTGCAGTCGCAACTGGTAAGCTTTTTTTATTGGTGGGCTCAAAGTTTTGGGACTGAAAACTATGGGTTCAAAGTTGTATTTTAGTGAGTTCAGTTGTTGATTTTTTTCCTAAAATCTAGTACTTATATAATAAAAAATAAAATAAAAATCATCTAGGGGGTTCGGGTGACACCCCTGGCCATGTGTTGGAGCCGCTCCTGTTTGGGACCACTAAAATTAACGCCTAAAATATATTTAGACAAATTATATCAATAGTTTATGTATTAATTTTTTATAACAAACGCGTTTATCAATTTTCTAATAAAATTAATAATAAATCATAAGACTAAATTTATTTTATTAGTTAATATAATATTTACATACAAAATGATATATATAGTTTTTAAAATGAAAAAAAAAAGTAACAATAGTTTATTAATTAATATTAAATATATGAATATGCTATGGCGTGCAGGCCACGCCCCTTTAGGGATACTTATTATATGTATCCTATCACAAAATAAGTAACGTTATATAAAATTTCATTCTTAATCATTTTTGAATGATAGAATTGTTGGCTACTTGATAGAGAATTCACATTAAAAATAATGGCGTGTTAGTCCTTTGTAAAATGTTGCCAAGTTTGCTTGTTGAGAGGTAGAAACATTCTCAATTCAATAGCAACTAAGGGATCACATTGGAGATATTGACTAGCACTTGTTTCTATTGAGAAGTGGAAATTTTGTGATTAATTTCAGTAGGAAAATTGCAATATGGAGAATATTGAATGGAAATGTTGTTCATAAGCAAGAAAACAACCTTGGAATTAATTGCTAATTGTATATGACAGTGTTGGAAGAATAAAGGAAACTTGGCACACACTACCTAATTCAATCATCAATCTTACATTCTTAAATAGTTTGTACCTCTCTTATTTGCAACTTTTTAGTTTCGTCATTTCTTTATAATGATTTTTACCATAGAAAAACACATACATAATTCAACAACTTTTAACATTAAAAGTAAAGTAAAATGATATTAAAATACTGCTTTTTATTTTAAAATACACATCTCAAAACAATATCATTTTAATTTACCTTTAAGCTTATATGATATCTTCATCCACTTTGCAGGGTCTATTAGAGGTTAAACAACTCACTAACTTTGATATTTCTAAAACAATTTGAATGGATGGATACCAAAGATTTCGATTTATTTATTTATTTATTAATTTGTATAAACGTTGGGTAATGGGTTTTTAAGCTTAAAAGGTGATAAATGACTCCGACGTTTTATGAGATTTTAAAAATTTTTTTTTTTTTACAATTTTAGTCTAATTATATCAACATTTCTTTTATAAGGCTAAAATCCTTAACTAACTTAGATGATGTGAAAATATAAAGATAGGTAAAAAATACGTAGAAAAGATAATAATATTATTTTTTATCGGACTTATATAAAACTTGAGAGAGAGAGAGAGAGAGAGAGAGGTGTAATTTATACCCAAAAAAAAATTCTAATGTGTTTGGTTAGCCAAGTTCAAGAAAAAGAAAAGAAAATAAAATATTAGACTTGTCTAACTTTTAGTGTAAATCTTTTTTGAGTTTTAAAAATAATTTTAAAATTTTTAATTTGTATTTTTTATATTTTTAATATTTACATGTGTTTCACTTTTTTTTTATTATTTATATTTAAACAAAAAAAATTAAATTATTATTTCTTAAACAAATTGGTTTAGAGGTTGGACTAGGCAAGTTTGGACAACTCTAAGTACAACTTGAGAACCCCTCAACCCAATTGAGGCTTGGTTTGGGAAGTGGGTTGGCTTTTTGGCTTTTTGACTTTTTTGGCTATTTTAGCCTGGACTTAAAAGCTTGGTTTGGGAAGGGTTTTTTGGCTTTTTGGCTTTTTGACTAAAAAGTCTCGTTTGGAATGGACCTTTTAGATTTTTTGACTTTTGTGAAAGAAAAAATAAAATAATTATAATTTTGATGTGACATTTTATCTAATCGACTTTTTAACTTATTTTATCTTTTTATGCCTATTTTAATCTCGTAACCTCTTCCCAAACGAGCGCTTTGTAAATGTAACAAGATTTCACTTCACATTGTCAAATTTTTGTTTCCTTAATTGTCTATGGCTTGGAAGTACATCTATAATCTAATCTGGAACTCTAAAGAATTGAAAATTTTGATCATAAAAATGAGTACCTGAGATCATATCTCAATGTTTCACCAAAATTAAAATGGAAATAATTGCAACACAAGGTTGGAAAAAGTTTGTATAAAGTTGATATAAAGAGACTGGTATTGGATGGCTTGGAAATCTCTCTCACTCTCTCTCTCTCCCTCTCAGTACGAATTCGGCCACTTTGAAAGTTCAATATGTGTCAACTTCAAGTTACTTATGTCCAGCCAGCCACATTCCATAAGAAATATCCCACCAACTTCAACTTGGAAGTCATGGCTGATGGATAAATTACGTAGTTGCAGTCCTTGACGGGCTGCACAGCTCATTGTACACTCTTGCTTTCTGATACCAACTCCAACTTTTTCTTGACTGACCAATCTTGACTTGCTTTGGGACCATTGGCAACTCCAAAATTTTTTATTAGTGGTGTTAATCAAAAATTTAAATGTCATATATCTTACAGAAAATTTACATTAATCATTATATTATTTATGGAGAAAAAATCAACAAATTAATTTAAATTCTGAAATTATAAACAAAAATATTTTAATATATTGATATTATTGTTTAACAAAAAGACATGTTAATACACGAGCTTCTACAATTGATCACAATGAGATTTCATATTTTAAAATCGTTGCATAATAAACTCATTATGAACACTGTCAAATACATCTTTCTCAATATATATAACCAAACAATCATTCAACCATTGACCTCCCATTTGGTTACACAATCGATTCTTTATGAATTTCATTGCTGAAAATGCTCTTTCCATTGTTGCAGTCGCAACTGGTAAGCTTTTTTTATTGGTGGGCTCAAAGTTTTGGGACTGAAAACTATGGGTTCAAAGTTGTATTTTAGTGAGTTCAGTTGTTGATTTTTTTCCTAAAATCTAGTACTTATATAATAAAAAATAAAATAAAAATCATCTAGGGGGTTCGGGTGATTCCATTGTTGCAGTCGCAACTGGTAAGCTTTTTTCATTGGTGGGCTCAAAGTTTTGGGACTGAAAACTATGGGTTCAAAGTTGTATTTTAGTGGGTTTAGTTGTTGATTTTTTTCCTAAAATCTAGTACTTATATAATAAAAAATAAAATAAAAATCATCTAGGGGGTTCGGATGACACCCCTGGCCATGTGTTGGAGCCACTCCTGTTTGGGACCACTAAAATTAACGCCTAAAATATATTTAGACAAATTATATCAATAGTTTATGTATTAATTTTTTATAACAAACGCGTTTATCAATTTTCTAATAAAATTAATAATAAATCATAAGACTAAATTTATTTTATTAATTAATATAATATTTACATACAAAATGATATATATAGTTTTTAAAATGAAAAAAAAAAGTAACAATAGTTTATTAATTAATATTAAATATATGAATATGCTATGGCGTGCAGGCCACGCCCCTTTAGGGATACTTATTATATGTATCCTATCACAAAATAAGTAACGTTATATAAAATTTTGTAACATTAATAATAAAATGTGTAATTTTGTCATAAATTGGTATAACAAAATGTCTAATTTTTTTTTAAAAAAAAATATTTCAATAAATCTTGTTTTCAAGTGTATTATTGAGTCCTATTAAATTTCAATGTAGACAATTAAGTCTTGTTTTTTCTAGTTTATTCTAAAAAAATTCACTTTTCCCTAATAATTTCTTTTATTCCAATTATACCATTCTTATTAAAATATGAACAACAATTATATAAATAATTTTAATTTACTTTAAAAAAATATATTTTTAATTGAAAAAATTGAATAAACTTTTTTTAATCAAATCATACTCAACTATTTGATCAAAAGAACTATTCATCATTTTCTATTGCCTTGTACTATGAAAAATATATTTAGTAAATAATCCAAAAGGTCTATTTTTTTAATATTGCATTAAAAAAATTGTGAAAAATAATACCCTGACAAATTATATATTTTTCAAATTGTATGACAAAAAAAAAAAAAACAATGAATCTTAAGCTTATGCTTCTGTTCAATAAAAAAGCAAAGCAATCTAAAATGTTCCATTACTTGCTTTGTAAATAGCTAGGGCAATTACCAACTTTTAATTGATTCATGACAATTTATATTAGTAATCCTTAATTCATATATTTTTGCTCTTACATCATTTCTGCCTTTATAATTTCAATAGACTTGATTTTGATATGAATTTATAATTTTGTCTCAATTTAATTTAACTAATTACAACTTCAAATTATTTTTGATGAAAAATGGGCACATGAGTGGCACGTTTCATTCTTTTCTAATCAAAAATTCATAAATTTGTTTAATTCAATGATTTAATCTCAACCAATTCAATAACATTTTTCTTCCAGGAACCTTATTCAGCATTATTAATTGGACCAAATTAACACAAAATTTAATATTTAGAATTCAAAATCAAGCAAATTAAAATTACTCAAACCAAAATGATGCAATGGAAAAATAACAATACTACAAATCTATTCTTATCAACTCAAAATCATTACATATGTGAACTTCATACTTTATCAATTCAATATCTATGAGAATAAATTTGGGGTCCGTAAAATGGGTTTCTAGCATTTTTCATGGAAAATATACGAGTAGTGATGTAATTTGACGTTGGTTTTATGGCAAACCATTAGTAATGGCTTTGGGACCACTGGAATTAAAGATAAAAAGACTCACTGTAGCCAACTTCGAAGTCATGGCTGATGGAGGAAGACTTTGCTCTGTAGCCAACTTCGAAGTCGTGGTTGCCGTGCTTGACGGGCTGGGCTGCTCCACCACCACCATAGAAAGACTTTGCTTTGTATAAGATTGAGTAATTCATTTACTCCTCAATCATCAAACTACTATCCATCTTACTCACTCTCCTTTTCATATCTCTCTAAATCCTCCTACCTGTAACAAAACAAAATGAGTTGGCTTATGTTTCTTCATCAATTTCTTCTGCTATTTCTCTTGTCTTCTTCTTCTTCTTCTTCTTCTTCTACTTCTGCACGCCATACCTGCCTTGAGGACCAGAGATTTTCACTTCTCCAATTTAAAACAACATTTACCATAACTGCTAATGCCTCTTTACGTTGTGAATCTGATTCTCATCCTAAAATGGTGTTCTGGAATGAGAGTGGTGATTGCTGCTCGTGGGAGGGGGTCACGTGCGACTGGTCCAATGGTCATGTGATTGGACTTGACCTCAGTTGCAGCCACCTTCACGGCACCATCCAACCCAACACCACCCTCTTCCACCTTCGTCACCTCCAAACCCTCAATCTTGCCTTCAATGACTTCAATTTCTCTACAATTTCACCTGACTTTGGCTCCTTTCCAAGTTTGACCCATCTCAACCTCTCTTACTCTAATTTTACTGGCCCAATTCCCTCAAAAATCTGCCATCTGTCCAAATTGGTTTCCCTTGATCTCTCTTATTTCAATTATTATCCTCAAAATCCTTATGATTCTTCTTATTCTCTGGCGAGACTTGAACAACACACTTTCAATATGCTCCTTCGAAACCTAACCCAATTAAGAGAACTACACCTTGATTCGTTGAATATCTTTTCACCTTTACCTCATGCTTTGCTAAATCTATCTTCTTTGACATCTCTCAGTCTTCGCTATTGTCAACTGCGTGGGAAATTCTCAGAAAACATTTTTCACTTTCCAAACCTACGAGAGCTCTGTGTATCGGGAAATTCGGAACACACAGGTAAACTTCCATACTTCAATGTGACTAGTTCCCTTCAGTTTCTTGATCTCTTTCGTTGCAACTTTTCGGGGTCCATTCCAGCTTCTCTTAGGAACCTTACACAAATCACCTATCTAGACTTCGGGTCTAACAGTTTCGGCGGTCAAATCCCCTCATCAATTTCAAACCTTGCAAAGCTTAATACCTTGTATCTTGACGGAAACAATTTGACCGGACAAATACCGGATTCCCTTGGCAACATGAGCCAACTTACTCTCTTGTATCTTGGCGGAAACAATTTGACCGGACAAATACCGGATTCCCTTGGCAACATGAGCCAACTTACTCTCTTGTCTCTTTCCGCAAACAATTTGACCGGACAAATACCGGATTCCCTTGGCAACATGAGCCAACTTACTATCTTGTATCTTTCCAGAAACAATTTGAACGGTCAAATACCGGATTCCCTTGGCAACATGAGCCAACTAACTTCTCTCCATTTGAGTTATAACTCACTTAATGGGACAATACCATCTTCGTTGTTTGCTCTGCCTTCACTGGTTTATATAGAATTGATTAACAATAAGCTACAGGGACCAATTCCAGGATCAGTTTATGAACTTCAGAACCTAACATTCTTGCGGCTTTCATCAAATAACTTGAGTGGTGTAGTGGATCTAGACAAGCTTCTAAAGCTTAAAAATCTGATCTATCTTGATCTCTCATATAATGGTCTCTCATTGAGCATCAATAACAGTGTCAACTCTACCTTGACCAACTTTGACACTATAGGATTAGCTTCTTGCAACTTGAGCGAATTCCCAAACTTCTTGAGGGAACAAGCCAGTTTGTCTTCACTAGACCTTTCAAACAACAAAATTCATGGTAAAGTTCCAAAATGGTTATTCGATGTGGGGAAAGATTCATTGTATAATTTAACTCTTTCTCATAATTTCCTTACAAGTTTAGAGCGTTTTCCATGGAAGAATCTGGGATATATTGACCTGCACTCCAACTTACTCCGAGGACCACTCCCTGTTCCACCTAACACCACAAATGTTTTCTCCATCTCAAACAACAAATTGACCGGAAAAATCCCTCCATTGATTTGCGATTTGAAATCACTTGTAATTCTTGATTTGTCTAATAACAGTTTGAGTGGATTGATTCCACAATGTTTGGGAAACTTGAGCAACAGCCTCTCAGTGCTGAATTTAGGGATCAATAGCTTTCGTGGCACGTTTACTGCAACATTTACCAAAGGCAACGTGCTAAGGAATCTTAACTTGAATGGCAACCAAATTGAAGGACAAATTCCACGATCGTTGCTCAATTGTAGACACTTGGAAGTTCTAGATCTTGGAAAAAACAAGATAAATGATAGATTCCCCCACTGGTTGGGAACTATTCGAAACTTGCAGGTTCTTGTCTTGAGATTTAATATGTTTCATGGTCCCATAGGCACCTTCAAGACCAAGGGCAAACATCTTTTCCCTAAGTTGAGAATTATTGACATATCTTACAATCAGTTCACTGGGCTTTTGCCAACAAACTATATCAAACAATTTGATGCTATGATGAATGCGGATGAACAACAAATGAAATTGAAATACATGGGTGAATACTATTATCAAGATTCTGTGGTGGTAATGATGAAAGGATATGAAATTGAATATTCAAGAATCTTAACGGTCTTCTCAATCATTGATTTTTCAAGAAACAAATTCCAAGGAGACATTCCGAAATCCATTAGGAGGCTTAATTCGCTTTGGGATCTTAACTTATCCCAAAACAACCTCAAAGGTCACATCCCAACTTTATTTGAAAATTTAACGAACCTTGAATCATTGGACCTTTCCTCAAACAAGCTTGTTGGGGAGATTCCTCAGCAATTGACAAGTTTGAAGTTTCTTGCCGTACTAAACCTTTCGGATAACCAACTAGTGGGACAAATTCCTCAAGGGAGCCAATTTAATACATTTGGGAATGATTCATACAATGGGAACTTGGCCTTGTGTGGATTCCCCTTATCAAAGAAATGTGAGGAACAACAACCATTGCCACCTCCACCAACACTGCAACATGATGAAAATTCAGATTGGGAGGGCAAATTTAACTGGAAAGTTGTTGTTATGGGGTATGGATGTGGCTTTGTATTTGGAATGCTTATGGGATATCTTATGTTAGTAACTCGAAGTCCAGAATAGCTGATGAAAATTGTTGAAGAAAAACAATGTAAGAAGGTGAAAAGATCCAAGAAGAGTGCTCACTGATGCAGTAAAGGAAGAAATTAGCAAAAAACAAATGGCGTCATTTAGGTAAGTAGAATTTATCTTTGAAGCATTACTTTGTTGAATTATCTTTTATGGTTTCTATGTATACGCTATTATTGAGTTGCTAATGTTTTTATTTCAAAACTAGATCTATTCCATCAAGTGGCACAATAAAGCAATGGTGTCCACTTGAAGGGGTGTCTCATGTAGCTGTTGCATTTGAGTCCATGTGCATCCGGATAGCAGCTATACGGGATCACTTCAAAAGGTTTTACCCTTGTTGTTGTATTGAGTTCTAAAGCTTTGTTATGTTGTTTAGCTTTCTTAAAGCACGAGTCAAATAAGAGTTGCATATCATGACTCCTTGTTTCTTTTCTCGCATCATGTAGCAACCTTTAAAGATTTTTACTTTTTTTGTGTAGCTACTTTTAAATTGGATTTTAGTCAAACTTGGCCTTGCTGAGTTTTTTAACCTTAAAATGCAATCTTAAAAGTTACAACTCAAACCATTCCCCTTGTTTCATTCTTAATCATTTTTGTATGACAAAATTGTTGGCTACCTGATAGAGAATTTGCACTGAAAATAATGATGTGTTACTCCATTTTAAAATATTGCCAAGTTAGCTTGTTGAAAGGTAAAAACATTCTCAATTCAATGGCGACTAAGGGACCACACTGGAGATATAGTCTAGCACTTGTTTTTATTAAGATGTGGGAATTTCGTGATTAATTACAATAGGAAAATGGTGATTCTGAGAGTATTGATTGGAAATGTGCAAGAAAAGAATCATCAAAACACAATCAACAGTGGGGTTTACCTTTTTCAATTGCGATAGTTTGGTGTACTATATTGTTGTATTTTCTCTGTCAACTCTCCCAAATATAATAAACTATAACCTGAATGATTGTTATAAACATTAAAAAAGAAGATGGCAGTTATTTGCATGTCAACTGATCTTAATGTGTCTTGTTGTTCCCTTCAGTTTCTGGCTATGGGCGGAGCTTCTCCAGTTTGGATGCCCGTATTCCACAACCAATTCGGATATTCAAACTGGGCATTTAGTTTAGTATGAGCAATAGATGTTTGTCATATTGATACTTCTTTTAAATTAATGGTTAAGATTTTGTCTACTTATTTACAAATTCATAATTAGATCTAAATAAAAAACTTGACCTAATATTTAATATGTGTTGACACCATATTTTCTTTTCTGTCGATTTTGGCCTGTCAATAGGCCAAATCAAATCTAATTAGCTATGGCCTGCCAATTATGAACAAATCCAATTTTATTGACTGTGGCTTGTTGATTATAGCCAAATCTAATCTCATTGATTGTGGTCTGTTGAATTTGATCTGTAGATTCAGATCATAAATTATCTTTTTAAAAGATTATGGCCATATTATTATTATTATTATTATTATTGTTATTATTATTATTATTATTATGTAGGTAAGTTTCATTCAAACCCACCAAATCGCAGGTCATGGGCAACATGGGGCATAGAGAAATAGTGCCAATGTGGCTTGATATGATGATCATGGGCAGTTAGTTGCTGTTTGTGGCAAACATTACACAACTAGTGAATTCAAGAAACTGCCTTTGAACAATTGGAAATTAAGCCATGGGACTTTGCTTAAAAATAGGCAAAGAAGAGAAGATCAGAAGGGATCAGCAAAACATCAAACTCATGAGAGTTCTTTATCTAGGAGTAGTCTATCTTAACTTAGGAGTAGATTACCTTAATTTAGGAGTAGTTTTTAGCAGTTAGTTTTGGTTCTTGTAACTTTTCTAATTCCTGTCGATTGTGTAACAAAGATTGTGTTTGTTGTTTGATTAATGCAATTAAGTAACAAGTTTCAATTTTATTACCAATTTGTAGTTTGTTTACACTTGTTTCTTCACATTACAACCTCCAAAAAAGTCCTTAAAACTGTCAAGGCATAGGACACCAACCACAATTGCTTGATGTGTTTGTTGTTTGTAAAAACTGGTTTCTTTGTCGATTTTCTTCTGTCGATTCCATCCAAACCAGATTTTTGATAACAATATGTTAATGGGTAGACAATCTGAGTGCTCAAACAACATTCTTTAGTTCATATTTCGACTGAAAAGAAGCCATTCTTTTTTAATTATCTGCAGGAGCATTGGATAGTTTTTCTTCTCAAACTAGTTTTTTTCTGACCAACTACCTAATTCAATCAACAATCTTTGATCCTTAAGTAGTTTGTACCTCTCATATTTTGCAACTTTATAGTATTGTCATTTTTTTAATAATGATTTTGTTACGATTTTTACCATAGTAAAACATGTTTGTGAAATACATAATTCAGCAACATAACATTAAAATTAAAGTAAAATGACATTAAAATATTACGTTTTTATTTTAAACTACACATCCTAAAATGATATCATTTTAGTTTAGCTTTAAGCTTATAAGATATATTCATCCACTTTTTAGGGTCCATTAGAGATTGCACAACTTACTAACTTTAACATTTCTAAAAACAATTTAAATGAATGGATATCAGATATTTCTTGGATAATCTTAAGATTGTATTTCGATCTTAAATTTATGAAAAAATTTGTGTAGTTGTGAAGAAAGAAAATACAGAAAATAAGGGTTGTTTTCTTGGGCACTACCAAGTGGGTGAACTAGTTTTCTTTTTTCCAAATATCAAAACTTGGATAAAAGACAGTTTTAATACCTAAAGTATGAGATCTTTTTTATTTTAGTCCCTTAAGTTTCAATTTTGTCATTTTGGACCTCAAAATTGTCAATTTCCCATTGGCTAGGAACTCTTCTGGAGTTGTGGGTCTGGTCTTGATATTTAATAGGTTTCATGGTCACATTGACGCCTTTAAGACCAAGAGTAAAGTTCCTTTCACTAAGTTGAGGATTATTGACATATGTTACAATGAGTTCAGTAGCCCTTTGCCAACCAATTATATCGAAAAATTTGAAGCTATGATGAATGTGATGGGTGAGATATATTATCAAGATTCTGTGGTGGTGGTGATGAAAGGATTTGAAATTGAATATTCAAGAATCTTGATGGTCTTTTCAATCATTGATTTATCAAGCAATAATTTCCAAGGAGATATTCCGAAATCCATTGCGAAGCTTAATTCACTTTGAGGTCTCAATTTATCTCATAACAACCCCATATCCCAACTTCACTTGCAAATTTAACGAACCTTGAATCATTGAACCTTTCCTCAAACAAGCTTGTTGGGGAGATTCCTTGGCAATTGACAAGTTTGATGTTTCTTGAGGTGCTAAACCTTTTGGACAACCAACTAGCAGGATCAATTTCGCAAGGGAGGCAGGTTAATTCATTTGGAAATGATTCATACAGTGGGAACTTGGCTTTATGTGGAATTCCATTATCAAAGAAATGTAAGGAACTACAGCCACTGCCACCTCCACCAACATTCCAACAAGACGAGAATCCAGACAAGTCAAGCCAATTTAGCTAGCAAGTTGTAGTGATGGGGTATGGATGCGGATGCGGATGCGGATGCGGATTTGTATTTGTATTTGGAATGGTTATGGGATATCTTATGTTTGTAACTCGAAGACTAGAATGGCTAATGAAAATTGTTGAAGGAAAACAATATAAGAAGGTGAAAAGGTCTATTAACGGTGCCCACTGATGCAATAAAGGAAGAAATCAGCAAAATCAAATGGTGTTATCAGGTAAGCGGAATTTATCTTTGAAGCTTTATTTTGTTGAATTATCTCTTGTGGTTTCTATTTATAAGCAAAATTAGAGTTACTTATGTTTTATTTCAAAACTAGCTCCATAACTTTAAGTAGCACAATAAAGCAATAGTATCTACTTGAAGGGGTGTCTCAGTGTCTGTCTTAGTTGTTGCATAATGAGTCTATGTGCATTTTTCCTCCTGAAGACAAGTTTTTTTGGTCGAGTGCCTATTTTGCAGCTTTTCACTTTTGCCTTTTTTTTTTTTTTTTTTCCCTTTGCAATGATTGTTTTATGGTTTTTAGCACAACAAGAACATAATTCAACTTCCTTAGTTTGAAATTAATTTAAAATGACATCAGCTTGTTTGTTTCATTCTCAAAAAATTAGAACTAGATTCGTGCGGGGAAGAAAAAAAGGGGAAAAAAGCATCTATTTTGATTTTTATTTATGCCAACTGCTTCAGCACTTTCTGTGAAATAGTTTAAGCAGCCAGTTCCTCTGTTTTGTAGCCAACATGATCAGTCAACTTTGCTTCCTTAGATCTTTCCAAGAATCAGCACTTTTTTTTAATAAAAATAATAATAATAAAAGTAAATTATGGACTCTTTAATGTTTGAATGACAGAAGTTTTGTGTTTGGAAAGTTAGATAATACAGCAATTGCTTTTGTTCATCTTGTTCAATAATTGAAATCATACATTAGTGGTTGAGGGCCAAGTTTAGTCAAATTTTATGATCTCAAGTCTCGTAATATTTATAGTCAATGAATTATATAAGAATGTTAAGATATGAATATTTGGAGATATAATTTAACAACTGTGAATGTTTTTCAATAGAGAAATAAAAAAATTTACAGATAAAAAGAACTTGTGTGTTGATGATGTGAAGATATTATTGTGTTGTAGGGATGGGAAGAAGTCGAAGGCCTTGGGAAAGAGAAGCAAGGGATCAAAGAATATGTCAGAGTTAAGAACAAACAGGATATTGCAGCTTCTTTTTCTTTTTTTTTTTCCCTCTGATTTTTTCTTTATTCATCAAATTCATGCTCTATTTTGTTGCCTAGAACATAAAGTTTATTTATTTTAATTGTCTTCTAAATCAAAGGAGCTAATAAGCTTAACCTTGTTGTGGGATGAGTTTTTCATAAATAAGGAGTTCATGACATATAGAGCAGTTTGACAGTTCAATAGGTACTGGGACATAATTGTTCAAAATTACGACAGGTATTGGTGTAGATGAGGGCATTCAATACATCACAGTTTGACAGCATCCTCAAGAGATTGAAAGTGCAATTGTCACATTTATCCTTCGAATTAGATTTAATAAGCTTTAAAAAAATTGTTCTTGCATTTTTCTGTTTCTGACTCTTCTTTTTATTTTTTCAGGAAGCTGCAGAAATCAAGGATGAAGGTACATCAAGATAAAATTGAATTTATATTGCACTTAATATCATTATATGTTTTGATGAGGATCATCTTTGTATGCATATTGCAGCTGTTGAAAAGGATGATGTTCAAGAGGTTCATACCGATGTCACCATAGAGACTAATACAGTTGTCAACTCTACTTAGCCCCAAGGAAGGTCAATATGGTTGCACACATCAATGCTAGATCAGTTTTGAGTTTTTTTTCTAATTTTTATAAATTTATTTATTTGTTTATTTTTGTTGCTTCCTTTAATAATCACCAGGTATAAGAAAAGAGAGGGGAAACTTGACCATGCATATTCTTCTGAGGATCTTGGAGGAATACTTGTGAGTTACTAACCTTAGTAACTTAGGTCCCCAAGTTTTTTGGTATAGAGTTGATTGAAACAGGTATTGTGAGGTTGTTATTTTGTGGTGCCTCAATTTTAAGTGAAGAATTTATTATTTGGGTCACTATTTGTTGTCTGAAGGTGCCAAATTATTTTTAAAAAATGGAGTTCTAAGATTTTTGAGTTCTTCCATCTGCCCTTAATTTTCTAATATGTTAATTGTACAGTTTTCAGAGGTCGCCTCTGTTTTCTTGTTTTTGGCTGTAATTTTTAATAAGATTGCTGTAATTCTTATGTGGAAAATCATAGGTAATTGATTGTTTGGGAACATCGCTTTAAAATTTTCCTAATTTACTCAAGTTTCACAAAGAGTTAGATTCAGATTGGTTGATTGAATTTGAATTGATCAAGCTTCTGACAGCAAAAAATTGGCTATAAATTCTGAATATTTGGTGAAATTGGCATTCTGGAAAATAATGGCTTTTCTTATATTGTCTATTAGTTTGGTTGGAATTTTAAGCTAAATTTCAAAAAATCGGTTAATAATCGAAAGAATTTAAAGATTGTATAGTAGTTTATGAAATCTATTTTTGTTAGTGTGGTTTCAGTAAGGTGTTGGCATTAGGAAGCTGGACTTATTTAAATAAGGCGATATTAGAAAATGGCTATTGAGATGCACACACTAAAGAGGCTTAGTCTTTGGAGAAGATTGATTGAGGAAGAGATATGGCAGCTTGTTTTGGTGGGTAGATGATTGATACTATTAGAGGTCCATATGGGAAAGGGGGGGGGGGGGGGGGGGGGGCGGGGCTTTGGAAGAGTATTCTCTCAATTTTTAATTTCTTTACGTTATTATTGCATTTGGATTATAACCAGAGCTTCTTATGGAAATTATTTAGTTTTTCATTCCTTTACTCATCAATAT